ATTCTGAAAATTAACTTTACCCCATAATCTTCTCTGTTCTCCCCAAAGTTCCTTGCAAAGTTTTACAAACTTTTTACACTAATTAATTTTACCTCCTATCTTTCTCTAACAGTGGTTCTCATCCGTCCCCTATCCTAAACTCTGAAGAAATACCATCAATATGGGACTCTACCAATCCCTCCTCAAATTCCCATTCTGCTTTCAAAGCTCAGAAGAATCCACTCCACTAAGCATAACTGTCTAGAAGCTGAGGGAAGATCCCAAAGGCCTGTTGAGAACTGGCAGCCAACAAGAAAAGGCAAAGTTGAGCACATTCATACAGTAGGACTTTTCATCCCATCACCCATGCTTCTGTGGTTCTTGAGGATAGTGGATGTTAGAATTGTAGACTTGTTGGGTGACAGTCTATCAAACCTGTCATCCTGGCTACCCAGAAGGCTGAGATCTGAGGATCATGGTTCGAGGTCTATGTAGACAAACTGGAGAGATTCTAATCTCCAATCAACCAGCAAAGAGCCAGGTAGAAGTAGAGGTATAGCTCAAGTGGTTTAACACCAATCTTGAGCAAAAAAGCTACAGGGAGGTGTTGAGTGTAAGCCCCAGTACTGACGAGCAGCATGCACACTCACACTCATACATGCACATAACACCCCCCCCCCACACACATTCAAAATGTAGACTTGGTAGTAGGATGCTGCTTTTTGTTGTCAAGATTTACAAAGAAAGCAGAAAAATTTGATCCCAGGCAAGAGGTCAAGGCCAACAGTTGCAAGCTTAGTGTTGGCCTCCAGATCAAAGATCTACTTCAGGAAAATAAAAGATCATTCATTATCTTGGATCACCAAATGCCAGTTAAGCACAATTATTCATCATCCTTTCATTCCCACACTCAATAAATGTATGTTGTGAGTGCTCTCCACTGTTTGTACACAGTAATGTTAAGGCATCATCCCTGACTTTGAGAGTTTATAGGAGTGCAGAGATAAGCCTGGAAATAAGATCAATGCCCGCCAGAGTTATGGTAAAGTATATGTAGGGTTCATCAGGAACACAAGGAACCTTGACTTCTCTGCCTCACAAATTTCCTCTTACTGTTAGCTCCCAGATGTTGAAACTACTATAAACTTTTCATCTTTTTATTTTTCTTGGCAGTAATGGGGTTTGAACACTTTCACATGTGCTAAGCCGGTGCTCTACCAATTGTTCCCAGATCTTTTTGCTTTAGGTTGCTTTTAGATAGGGTCTCACACTTTTGCTCACTCTGGTCTTAGACCACAATCCTATCTCTGCTTGCTGAGTAGCTGGGATTATAGGCATGAGATACCATGCCAGGCCTCCTTACTTTCATCTTTAACTCCTTCCATTTTGCTCCTCTCAATTCTTTTTGTTTGCTTTTCTTGTTGTTTAAGAGGGCCACATATTCTTTTTCCATCTCTTGGTCCTCACAAAAACATGGCCTTCTCATAAATGATGTCACTTATCCCAAAGGTTTATTCAGTGATGTCCGCTTATCCTTCCACTTTTCCTAACTCACAGGGTAAGAATATAGCCTCCTTCCCTCAATATAACTGGATAAACACCACTCATCCACATCTTCAGTGTATATACCACTGGCTTTACTTCACTCTTTCTCAACTTTTGGAGAGATGAGGATCCCACACAAACCATGGGGATTTTCCAGCCCAGCCTGCTCTTACATCTCTTTATAATTGTCTTTAGCTCTTACGGGCTATATGTGCTCAACTGCTCCTCACTGTGCTTCACTACCAGCTTTTGCTATGAAAGTGTTCAACAATATGTCTTCAAGAATTGTGTCAATCAGAATATCTAAAGTTAGATACAAGCCTGGGACTGGTGGTTCACACCTGTTAGAAGAGCTACTCAGGAGGCTGAGAACTGACAACCATGGCTCAAAACTAGTCTGGGCAGAGAAGTCCTTTTAACCAGAAAGAAAAAAAAAGCTGGACTCAAGTGGTAGAATCATGATCAGAAAAAGTTAAGTTCAAGCCTGGCAAAAAGAAAAGTTAGATACATTATAGTCCCCACTCTCAGAGAGCCTGCAGTCCAGAGAAATAGGCAAGTCCAAGTACTTTCAATATAAAGGATATCAGAACAAACAACAGGAAGCAGTTGTGGTGGGAGGGGTGTCATTGTACACACTCTTCTAATCACTTCCTTTGCCCCTTGTTCCACATGGTCATCTAGAATCCTACTGCTTATTCTGCCTGATGTCCATTTGTGCTGCTAATTGTTACATACAACAGTGGCCCATCACTAATGGATGTTACTAACCCTCATGTCCTCATGGTTCTGAATAGTTCTTTTAATTAGCTTACTGATCCACTAGTATATCCTACACAATAGTTTGCAACTTTTTTTTTTCTTTTTTAATTTTTTTTTGTGAACACACTGTACAGAGGGGTTACAATTACATGGGCAGGATAATGCGTACATTTCTTATCAAGCATTGCTGCCTCCTCCTTTGTTTACCCTTCCCAGCCTCCCCCCCCCATCCAATCCTTCCCGCCTCCCCCCTCCCCACCAACGTTGTAAAGCTCGTTTTCGACATGACAACTTGTACTTCTCATTGTTGTAACAGGTCCACCTGTATCCTTAAACGACTTGTTTTTCCCCATCTCCTCCACAAGTTATACTGACATCAAATATAGTGAAAGCAGGGGTTATACTGTGGGGGAGGGACATACAAAGCAATAAAGAGGTAATCTTATACATGCGTTAGAAACAAATGAAAGAAAAAAAACCTTAAAATACATATCTAAGGGTTCATTTTCCTAATATCACATTATCTGATCTTTTCCACTTGACTCATACATATACTAGATATTGCAAATAAGGGAAACCATAGGACCTATGTTTCTTTGGGCCTGGCTTACTTCACTTAATATAATTTTTTCCAAGTTTTTCCATTTCCTAACAAATGGGACAATGTCATTCTTTCTGATTGCAACTTTTCTTGTAAAGCCACCACCATTCCTATTTTTTTCTTCTTCAGTAAAAGAGTTTGAACTCAGGGCCCTACACTTGCTAGGTTGATTAGATAGATGATCAACTTCTTGAGCCACACTCCTTGCTCTTTTGCTTAATTTTTTCAGATAGGGTTTCATGTTTGTTTTTTTTTGTTTGTTTTTTGTTTTTGACCAGGGCCAGTCTGGATTGTGATCTTCCTACTTTATGCTTCCTAAGTCATTAGGATGACAGGTACATACCAACACACCCAACTTTTCTTGTTGAGATGGAATCTTTGCGAACTTTTTTGCCAGGGCTAGCCTCAAAGGTGATTCTTCCATTTTCCACCTCTTTTAGTAGCTAAGTTTACCCACCTGAGCCACCCTAACATTTGCTCCGACATCCAAATCATCATTTTAATCATTCCTTCTGGCTACTTTCTTGCTGTTTGTCACTGACTCTTTCTAATGGCTAATAAACTTTGGTGTCTCCCACCATGTGGAAAGAGAAAAAAAATCTTTGTTTCAAACCCAAATCTTGTTTCTTTTGGAAACTGACAACTTCCCGAGAATCAGCTAAAATTTTTCACTGCCTCCATGTTCTTATTTCTAAAATAGCACAGCAATCCTCCTTTATCTAGTTTTGTTTCCCATGGTTTCAATTACCCTCATTCGACCATGGTCCAAATATATTCAATGAAAAAAAAAAACTTCTAGAAATACACACTTCATGTGTTTTAAATAAGTAGTTGTCATTCTGAATAGTATGATAAAATCTCAGGCCTTTCCTTTCCATCCCACCGAGGTCATGAACCATCCCTTTGTCCAGCATTATAGTTACCCACCCACTAGTCATGTCGCAGCCACCTCACTTAGTGGATCTCTAGTCTTGGTGCTGTGTTCACATAACCCATGTGTTATTTAATAGTGGCCTAAGACACAAGAAGAATAATGATGGCAACTTGAATATGCCAAGAAGCAGCTTAAAGTGTTTCAACTGAAAAGCTGAAAGTTCTCAACTTAATGAGGAAAGGAAAACAAAACAAACATAGGCTGAAGTTGCGAGAGCTACAGTGCAGTATTCTCAGAGACCACATTCATGCAACTTTTATTAATGTATATTGTTACAATTGCTCATTTTATGACAGTAATTTCTTACTTATAAGATCTAATTTACAAATTAAACGTTATTAGAGGTATTTCAGAATGCGAACAATATAGCATACATAGGACTTGGTACTGTGGTTTCAGGCATCCACCAGGGATCTTGGATAGCATCCCCAAGTAGGGGAGCTCCTGTAATTCTTTACCACTAGCTGTCAGGTTTTGCTTCCATCATTTTATTTAGACCATTCAAATGACACCCTATTTGCCAAACTCCATTGATTTCCCACAATCATGATAATTTGGCATCATTGGTCATTTCTTTATCTTGATTTTATATCCTCCTTGGCTCCAAAGAGATATTCCCTGACAATCAGATTTTAAAGCATTTCTGAGTGCCTGCCAAAAGTAAACGCCGTGTTATAGGAAAGGCCTGACCTAGCAGACTATGGTAGTGAGGTTGCCCAACTCTGAGCTCACACAAGGAACAAAAAAGAGCAAAGGGTAAATGCAATCCAGGTCTTCAGAGAAGACTGAATTTTAAGCCAAAAGAACCAAATCAGCTGACAAGATGAATGATAGGAATATAACTCAAATAGGAAACAGCCAAAGGTAACAAATGAGGAAAGGGCTAGAGCTAAGGGAATTTAGAGGGGGAAGGCCATTCTTGCCAGATGCTATGATCAAAGCTAAACTTATCCTCAGATGGCCTAAACAGGTTATCAGAATGGCTTCACAGTAAAGTCAAGGAAGGCAAAAGTAAAACAGAATAAGACTTCCCTTTCACTGAACAAGTCTGTTTCTTTAGTGAAGTATAGCAATAGTACCTATCTCAGAAGGTACTTAAGGATTGAAACAAAGTATGTGAAGAACTAAACACAGGGCCTGATATGTAGCAGGTGGTAGAATATTACCAATACTATCTTCTCCATGTTATACTATACAACATGTGGCTTAGGCAAACATATCAAGTCATCCTAGTTTCTAATTTAATTTTGAGCTTCTTAGTGTACAAAAAAGGCCCTGGATTAAAGTAACAAATCGTTTTAAAATAGGATAAAAATGTGGATGTGTGCTCACAATAATGTGGCTTTTCTCTTTGCTGCACTAAGACAACTACCTTCACCTAGTCAACAAAGGTCTATTTTCCAGGACTTCATTATCCTTTTAGTTAGTTTGAATCTATTTTCTATCCTTTTTGAGCTACATCCAGTCTTTCAATACTTTCTTGCCCTACAGCAGAATCCCTTATCACTGGCTTTTTCTTTTTTGTGTGTGCCAGTCCTGGGGCTTGAACTCAGGGCCTAGGCACTGTCCCTGAAGGCTTAGCACTCTACTACTTGAACCACAGATACACTTTTGGCTTTTCTACTGGTTAGCTGAAGATAATTTCACACTTTCTTGGTTGGACTGACTTTGAACTGTGATCCTCAGATTCCAGCCTCCTGAGTAGCTGGGATTACAGGAATGAGCAACTGACTCTTTTGAGTGGCTGTCATCTGAATTCTAGTATTGCTTAGGTGAATTCTCATTTTTTTTTTTTGCTTCTGGAGCTTTTCTATACAACTTTAATCTCTATCTTTATCATCTATGGCTTGCAGTATTACAGTAGTGTAAATGACATCTTAGTTCCTACATTCTCTCTATGAAGGCTATCCTTCATGTTAGCACTAGAATAAGTGTTTTTGGGTAAAATATTGGTCCATTGCAAGTAAGGAAAAAGTGCTTCGACATACTATATAGGGTCATTCACATTCCTTTCCTTTTAATAAATTCCATGATGGAATTTATTAAAAGGAAAGGAATGTGAATGACACACTCAGCTCTAATCTTAAGGTAAACATGATATACTGAAAGACCAGACACATTAAGGACAGCAGAGCAGAATACTTATAGCATGTGGATTACCTCTGAATTTCAGAAACTGTATGACCATAACAGACCCAGTAACATATGACCTTATCATCTCCTTCCTAAAATCCTTCAATGCTGTGTGTGTGTGTGTTTGCGCGTGTCTGGACTGGGGCTTAGAACTGGGGATTTCAAACTCTTGCTCTTGACTGGTGCTCTACAACTTCAGCTCCCCTCCAGTTCTGATTTTTTGCAGGAGTGTCACAAACCTGCCTTCCTGGGCTTACTTCAAACTTCCAGCCCTCCAGATCTCAGCTACCAGAGGAACTAGGATTACAGGCCTGAGCCACCAATGGCATTTAAAAGACAAAACAACAAAAACCCCTTAACCTGGCCTACAAAGGTCTGCATAAAAAACTTGATCCTACATCTACCCTGTCTCATATTACTTTTTTTTAATCTTACTTTCTCAACCTTAGCCACATACACCCTTCTCAGCTGATTTTTACAGGCTATATACCCTACAACAAAACTAGTCAGCTCTTATCTTTTGAATATCAGCCTGATCATTTATAAGTCATCTTCATCATATGGCAGTAGAGCATAAGGCTATTTTTAATCCCATTCTATAGGGGAAAGGATTCAGTGAAGAATTATAACCACGTGGGGTTTATGGACTCAAACCAGGTGACTGGGCAGGCTAAGTTACCATTACTGTCTGGTAGTGCCTGTAAACCATTTAGAAGGGTGTCTATAATATATGTGTCTATAATATATGTCAGTCACTGCTCACGTTGTGCTGTCAGTCCTCATCCTGCCATCGCTTTCGTCCCCAACTCCTTCTCTAGCACAGAGACTGAGCCAACCTGGACTTCTTCTTAGCCTTGACACGGGTTTCTGAACAAGCCTTGGCCACGTGGTTTTAAAAATACAAATAAACGACCCGAAGTCTTGTGTTCTAGTGCAGCCTGGCTGGCTGAACACTGACCGGCTGAAAATGCAGCGTCTACTTGGGAGAGCCGTGGGGTTCGGACGGTCTCCGTACGACCAGGACGGGGCAAGTCCTGAGCACAGTGCAGACAGTAGTTGTTTATGGCAATCCTGGCGTCCGCGTCTTCCGTCCGGCCCGGTCCGGTCCGGTCCGGCCCGGCCTCGAGCCCGCCCCCGCTCGGCTCACACCCTCCCGGCATCCTCGGTCCCTCGGGGTTACCTCAGGCGTGGGAGCCCCGGCCCCGCAAGGATCCCTCACGGAGACCCGCGCCCTCCTTCCTTCCTCGCCCGGACGGACGCACTTCCGGCGGATGTGGCGGGGTGGGGGTGGGGGGTGGAACGGCCCCCGGAAACGGAAGTGAGCGGCGGTCCGGCTGACGGTAACCTGCTGGGGATCTTGTTCCCAGAGCGACGCGAAGATGGTGAGTGAGCGGCGGGGCTCGGCCGGGCCCGACCCCGGGGCCCAGCAGGCGCACGCTGCCGCCTCCCAGCCCGACCGCGGCTGGCGTCCGTGGCGGGGATGAGCCGTCCCAGCACGCCGTGATGTGTCGCGTCACGGGGTCGGGGCGGCCCGTGGGCCTGCGCCGTTCCGCCCTCCTCCCCGCGGCCGGCGTGTGAGCCTGCGTGCCCGGTCGGTCGGTGTCCCCACGGCCCCCGGCGGGTCCGGGCCCCCGGGGAGCTGGGCACGGGAACGACTGGTGGGGTGGCGGCCACCTTGGTTTGAAAGGCCGCGTCGCCCACCCTCGACCGAAGTCACGTTCCTGTAGTTCGGTCTTGTTTCCGTAGGATCCCCCGCGTCGTCGACCTGGCGTCGCCTCTCCCCTCCCCTTACCTCCCCTTACCTCCCCTGTCCTCTCCCCTACCTCCCCTGTCCCCTCCCCCCTACC